AATCAGATCGCGGAGTCGTTGGACACAACACCTCAGGCTGTAATCGCATGTCAAACCGGCTTTGTTATCATGCTTGGCATTGGACCGTGAGAATATCCATCATAAGTCTGATAACTATGCCGTACTGACATGTTGACATGATAGTCTTTTGCTTGCTCCTTTGTCTGAGACCTTCGGTCGAAAGCCCGTGTATTTGGTCTGCTTTGGCATTTTTACTTTGCTCCAGATTCCAACCGCACTAAGTTCAAATATCGCTACCCTCATCACATTTCGCTCCATCGCTGGATTCTTTGGGAGTAATACTTCTTTATCCCTGTCTAAACAGAGTATCACTGATTTCATACAGGTGTTTCAATTGCCAATGGAGGTGGAACCATCTCTGACATGTATCTGCCAAGTGAACGAGCAGGTGTTTTCGGATGGTATCTACTGGGGCCACTTCTAGGACCAACAATAGGACCTCTTCTTGGCGGCGTTATTCTGCAAAATCTTAAATGGCCATGGCTATTTTGGATCTTGTTGATGATATGTGGTGTCGTTTTCGCTGGTGTATATTTTTTTCTGCACGAAACTTATGTTCCTATTCTTCTTACTCATCGAAAGAAGGAACTTGAAGAGTGCTCGGACGTTAAATATTATTTCGAAGGAGAAGATTCGAGACCCTTTTCATCAAAAGCTATCCAAGCAATACATCGACCACTAAAAATACTATTTACTCAACCCATAGTATTGATCATGTCAACATATCAAGCTCTTATTTTCGCCACAACATACAGTCTTTATACCCAATTTTCGCAAATCTATGGCGATGGATATGGCTTTAGCACTGTTCAAGTAGGACTTGTATATCTTGCCCCAGGACTTGGATTTCTTTCGGCAGTAAGATTCCTAGTTCCGAAAATCGACGATATCCGGAATCATCTTACACGCAAAAACAAGGGCGAAGCAAAACCTGAATTTCGTCTTCCCCTTGCAAATATCGGCGCAGTTCTCATTCCCATCACATTATTTTCATTCGCCTGGATGGTGGAGTACCGCGTACACTGGGCCTTTACACTCATAGCCACTTTCTTTTATGGTATTGGTCAGGTTGCTATCTTCAATACCGTACAGAACTATTACATCGATAGTTTCGAGAAATATGCGGCAAGTGCCATCGCAGCCGGAGCATTCTTTAGAAGTGTGTTCGGTGGAATTGTACCTCTAATCACGCCAACCATTTTGGACAATATTGGAGTTGGGTGGGGACTGAGCATTTTTGCGTTTTTGAGTGTTGCAATTGCCCCAAGTCCTATACTATTTTATTACTATGGCGCCTCATTGAGAAAAAGATTCTCAATAGACTTGGAGTAAGACGGTCCCTTGAATTTTGATGGCCATTCAGATAGAATATTCCAGTCGGTATCCGCTTTTCCAATATGGACAGTCACTTCACTGCCCTTGTCAGACGTTTTGTGCGAGTGAACAAAAATGATGCACAGTCATATGTTGGATGCCGCAGCGAGCGATTGCTTTATAGTTGTTTTGGAATGATTTGAAAACTTGATCTGTGTTTCTCCTTTGATGTCTTGGTGCAATATAGAATTTGGAATTCATACATGTAATCATCAGTGATTTTGACATGGTACTGGCCGTCAGGATCCACAACTGTTCCTCCGGGACTCACGGCACCTACGTCACATAAATCTATTGGCCGATATGTCTGTGATATCTACCGACATGCATCTCAAATGTCACCCTTTATTACATAGCTGTACCTTTCAAAACCTGTGCTAAATACTAAATTTATGGACCACATTTACATGTGAAGTTTCAACATTTTACTTTTGGCGATGCCGCTTGCTCTTGCCATGGTAGTTACGAAATCTGTACCCACACATTGTGGATCCATTGAACTTCAATTTCTCTGGAGACCCCAAACCAAGATTCACGCTGTCAAGAAAACCCGGAGCATTGCCGCAACATTCTCCACAACAAATAATCTACTGCAATTTCCGCACAATTCTACGTTAGCGTTGAGCTATATCACATGTATGCGCTCCTATAAACAATCAGAGAAAACCGGGCCTGTCTAACGGCCCGATCTGAAGTTATGAGTGATTCGATGCCTCCGATGTCTACCGTGATTCGACTTTACTCAATATGTGGATTGTAGGTGGAAGCACGGGCTTTAATTAACCTCCACTATCAAGAAACATAGTACGACACTAAAACAACCATCTTGACGATCTCGACTTCATATAGGATAGATGTCGAGGAAATTAATATGCGCACCAATGACACACGACAGTTAATCTTTTGGGGTTCTCTCCATGGGGTGTCCCACAAATTTTGTATCGAGTCTCGAAGAAAACATCTGGTGTGTAGATGCCCTATATGATATTATCATTGTATATAGATGAGTGAATTTCTCACATCTTGACTTCTGATTTCCCCAGGGAAGAAAGATTTCCTAGATCTCTACTGCTCAAAATGGTGCATCTTCCAAAGATCAACAATATCTATTTTCTGGCTTCTATCGCCACTGTTGGTGGAATGCTGTAAGTGCCAAATTTGCAACCTACAATCTACAGCTCAACTTTCAAAATTACACAGTGAGTCTAACGAAAGATATTTAGGTTTGGTTTCGATATTTCATCTATGTCAGCCATTATCGGCACTAGCCAATATATAGACTTTTTCAATAATCCCCAAGGTGTCGTTCAAGGAGGTATTGGTTCAGCCTTGGCTGGTGGTTCAGTCATTGGTGCAATCATGGCTGGTCCTGTATCCAACAAGTACGGTCGTCGAGACTCTTTATCCTTCGCTTGTATCTGGTGGCTACTCGGTACCGCTCTCCAAACCTCCTGTAATGGAATCGGCATGTTAGTCGCTGGTCGTTTCATCAATGGTATCTGCGTAGGCATCACTTCCTCGCAAGCACCTGTATATCTGGCCGAGATTGCCAAGAAAGAAAGTCGAGGATCAATTATCGTTATTCAACAATGGTCTATTGAATGGGGTATCTTCATCATGTATTTTGTGGGATACGGATGCAGTTTTATCAAGTCCTCCCCCACAGCATCATTCCGTACCGCATGGGCTATGCAATTCATTCCCTGTATCATTCTTATGATGGGTATCCCATTTCTTCCTCGCTCACCTCGCTGGCTTGCAAAAGTCGGACGCGAAAAAGAAGCCATTGCTATTCTGGCAGATATTCAAGCAGGCGGTAATATCAATGATCCGCTCGTGATAGCTGAATGGGAAGAAATCACCACCATTCTTGCTGCTGAACGTGAAGGCCAAAAGGGATGGAGACGATTCTTCAAAAACGGAATGTGGAAACGTACTTTGGCGGGTACGTCTGTACAGGCATGGCAACAATTGAGCGGTGCGAATGTGATGACTTACTATGTGGTTTATATTTTCGAAATGGCTAGCTTGACAGGAAATATCGGGCTTGTTTCTTCGGGCATTCAATATGCTATTTTCATCATCGGGACTGCAGCAACTTACTTCTTCATTGATAAAACTGGTCGAAGACCTTTGCTCGTAAGTACTTCTTTTTTTAATCCTCTAACCCATTCTCTCTCAACAAACTCAAAAACCCAAATCACTAACCCAAACCCCCAGATCTACGGTGCCCTGGGCATGGGCATCTGCATGTTCGTCGTCGGCGGCATCCTCGGCTCCTACGGCACCTACCTCCCCAACGGTCTCGACGGCAATCTCAGCGTTCGCGTGCAAGTCTCCGGTTCCCCAGCCTACACCGTCATCGCCTTCTGCTATCTCCTCGTCCTTCTCTACTCCGTTACTCTCGCGCCCATCGCCTGGGTCTACGCCGCGGAAGTCTGGTCCCTCGAAACCCGCGCCACAGGAATGGCGCTCGCCTCGATCGCAAATTGGCTCTTCAATTTCGCGATTGGATTGTTTATCCCGAGTGCGTTTCAAAATATTAGTTGGAAACTTTTTATTATTTTTGGGGTCTTGTGTTTTGCGGCCGCCGTGCAGGCGTTTTTTACGTATCCGGAGACCGCCGGGAAGACGCTGGAGGAGATTGAATTGCTTTTTGCGAGGGGCGGACCGAGGCCGTGGAGGACGAGGCCAGGGGGCAGTTTGCTGGATGAGAGAGTTAGGGATGTGGTTGTGGGGGAGGAGAAGGGGGTGCTGGAGGAGAGGGTGGAGTTTGGGGGGGTAGGCAGGGAGAGAGGGGTGGATGTGGATGTGGATGTGGATGTGGATGTGGATGGGAAGCGGGGGAGGGTGGTTTAGATTTTTGGGTTTGGGAGGGTGGAGATTAAATGAGGGATGGATAGATGGATAGATTAATACCATGGGTTTTTATGAGATTATGAGGAGTTTGGAATATATATTTGAAATTAATATTCTAGAGAAACTTTTATTATGTTTATTGGTCATCTGGGTATCCATCCATCTAATGCTGTGATTCTCGAGTTTTCGGGCTTGTGGATATTCGATGAAGGTAAAATGAAGAGTAAGTTATGCTCGCCATTGGAGCGGATAATACCGCTCTCTTGTTTTAATTTCTATATCGTGAAATAACTATTCTGTGAACCGAATTAGATACCATAATATCATGATACCCATCCATACTTTTCATATAAAATCCTGCATTGAATATCTAGATGGATAATATATATTCAGAGTATTGAATAATAAACATCAAACCAAAACCTCGAATTTTCCTGTATAAGCGAGCAAAGAGGAGCTTGAAGATAAGAAGAAACTCTGTTTTACGGAATGCTCAAGCTGTAGGGATGGGAATACCGAGAATAGGCTTTAAAAGGGGGGGTTGCACAAGGGCTTAAGAGTCAATATAGAACTTCATTTTTTTTATTTAAAAATCGAGGTTATGATGAGTTGTGAGTTCTCTAATGTGTTTGTGGTATGTGTCTATGTTGACTTTTGATGTGCAGTCTTTTGAAAAAGAAAAAAAAGAAAAAAAACACAAGCTTCCAAATAGATGGAATTTAGTGCAAATCAAACTGATGATCAGACTAATACTCGTCATCTTCATCATCCTCATCCTCATCCAAGAACCGTACCGAAGATCTCCTACTCTCCTCTTCCGGCAACCCATCCCTTCCCACCGAAGAAACACTCTCCTCCGCCGGCGGATCTCTCTCCTTCGCTTCCCTTACCCATTTCCTCACATGCCGATGCTGATAACAAAGCGGACTAACCAACGCTTCCACCGTACTCCCACTCAGGGGCGTCACCAACGAAACTCTTCTCGAACATTGTTTTCCCGTTGCGGTTAAAGCCATGCAAAGACGTGGTGTGCGTTCATCGTCTGCCCAGTCTTTTTCGTCTTCGTAGTGCACGTATCGCTGACGGATGGGTGGATAGGATGTAGAGGTGTTGTGTCGTTCGCGGAGGGGAAGATCGGCGTTGGGATAGTAGTAGTGTCGTTCGGAGGGGTTGAGGGAGAAAAATTGGGAGGCGTTGGCGGGGATTGGTGATCGTTGCGCTTTGGTGTCGGAGGATTGTGTTGAAGAGGATCTTGAAGTAGAGGAACTTGGACTTGAACTTTGACTTTGGGAACGAGGCTGGGGCTCTTTTAAGCTCTTATTTCGTGTTGGAATTGAATCATCTGTCGAATTGGTGGTAGCTGAGTTTGTAGCTCGGCCCTGTCTTGTTGTAACGGTGGGATAACGTGTTGAATTTGATTTGTCTGAAGGATTTGTATATCGACTTGAGACTTCCTTGACAGAGTAGTTTTGTGGCTTTCCTAAACGGTATAACAGTGTGAATTCTTCATCTGCGTAATAATCTCTCTCTGAAGGATAAGAGTAGCTTTGTCGCCTCCATGCTCTAGTGTGAGACTGATTTTGTGATTGTGCTATATCACCATCTATTGTTCGATAAGTCGGCTCACGACTAGATCTCGCCGATGGGGCCCGAAAGACTGGCCGTCGTCGCTCTCTTTTCGGCTTCTTAACAGTCTGGAAACTAAGTAAAGTCAAGAGGAAAAAAATGATGCAGAAAATGCCGAAAGGTACAGTCAAAATATCGACACAAAATAGTGTACACTGCTTGCCTAAAGTTGGCCAATCAGTGTTTGCCGGAATTTGTGACCATGGTATGTACGGTTCTCTCTTTTCTATCAGCACCTTAAAATTATCGCAACCCCTTTGAAAGTCGAGATATATGTCCTTAATCGTTTCATTGCTGTGGTTCCCACTTTTCCAGGTCTCAACACGACGCCATATACTGTCGCTCATAGAGTAAGGTAGCAGGTTGTCCACAAGTATATGAACCACATTTACCCAGGTCGCCGTACAAAACTGAATACCGCCATGTTCTCCAGTAGGGCACATCAATTCAGTTGATAAAGTGTCATAATCCCACGGCCACGGTTTAGGCGCGAAGCTGTCAATTTCACGATGTTTCCTTACCCACCGACTGTTCCAATAATCAATTCCAAATCTGGGTAGATAATCGGATGAGGAACGGCAACCAAAAACCTTTTCACAAACCATTAGGTGATGAAAACGTTTCTCATCGTCACTCAGTACCTCGTAAGCCTCGTTGATAAGCTGAATGGCAGTTTCGGCACTATTATTCTGCTCTGTACCTCGTAAATTATCTGGATGAATCAATTCGAGAAGGCGACGATGTGCTTGTTCAATTTCTTCTTGAGTTGCACTGAGCGGAAGATCAAGATTGTAATAATGAGGAGTGAGATTTGGACTGTGGCATTGCCAATATTTTTTCATGATCTCGTTCATCTTGCAGAGCCTCACATGGAAACCGTTCTAGTGACAATATAGCAATATAACGATATAACAGTATAAAGATACACGCAGAAACAATCTAGGGGATAGTTATCATGGTAAAGCCACCGGAGTTTTCGAAGATGAATAGCAGGATACAAACGTTGATCGTGGAAGGACATGTCTTGGCAGACAGACAAAGAGTGGAATGTTAGACACTTCTCTAAGACTGTGATGACTTAACGTAAAGAATGCTGCAAACAGGTTCGTGCGGTGTAGTCTTTCTTATCTGTCTGGTACAGAAAGACAATTGCATTGTTTGAAGTTCTCAATATCTCTTTGGTCTTCTTGTTCTTGCATCCCACACTCAACATTCTTCAATTATCGTGGCATCACTGATCATGAGAAACGATCAATATGTGTGATTTTCTCGTAACTTCAAATGTAATCTAAGCCCAATGAACTTTCATTAAGAATATCTGAGTTCATGGCAAGTCTCTAGATCTTTCATAGGTCACGATCATGGTCTTGTAATCACATATGGTTGGTAACTGAATGACTGGTTAACGTTGGAGAAAATGAAACGAGACCGGCGGGCGGTGAGAGATGTCATTAAAAGGATTATGTAAGCACCACCGGCTTCATTTCTTCATTCATTCCTCGACCACCTGGTGGACCAAATTTATGTTCGTCGATACCAACTCTTGCTTGCTATCATCGTGATGAAATCAGTTGAAGTATTTTACCATCTCTTCACGAGCGAATTTTCGACCGAACAAGATGGAATATTAGAATGATAAAGTTACCACTACTACGTGGAGGGTTGGACTTCACCTATGACAACAAAGAACTTCCTACGATAACTAAACCTTCTATAAACTACAAACTTTTGTCCCGACAATTTGAAGGGTCAAGGAACAATGCTAAGAACAATAAAAGGCAAGTGCCACGAGTTATTGAGATACGCCTATTTCATTTAAAATTTGGGAATAGACAGAGATAGAAATATAAGTTATAATTCATTCTCTGTCAAGTCCTTCTATCCCGAGGTCCTGGATCAATGTTGTATTGAATATGAAAATCCTGGATAACATCCATCTTTATGGAGGCTGGAAGGCAACAGCCGTGTCTGTCTGCCTTTTGCCCTTCCTGTTGTCTTACATTGTGACTACAATTAAGTCTGTCATTGCTGTGCGCAGTAAAAAGAATGATAAATCGCCCGCTATTGATCCATCAGTGGATTTTATATTTGGGAACCTCATACCATTTTCTTTCGACAATCGTGGATATATGGCACACCTTATGTAAGTATATGGCGGAGTATCCATGGCTATTTGAGTTGACTTATAAATGTGACCAGAAAACGTTTCGGTTCCCATGTGCCTGTTCGAATTCGAGTCGCCTCCGATAGCTTTTACTTTGTTTCAGGGCCAGAATATATACTCAAATTGTTCCGCGGCTCTCGGGATCTTACTGTCATTCCTGCCATGGCGGCTATTGTGGAACGAATATTCGGCGCTCCTCCTGAAGCCAGTGCTGTACTTTTGGATGACAACACTGGAACCTCACCAAAGCCGCTGCCTGATAGCAACCCTTTGCCCGCAGACCAACGTTATCACCATATCTCACATCAAGCATATACTGATAACCTCACAGGTGTGAAATTGGCAGAAGTCGTAACTCGGTTCCTGACGAATCTTAGCACAGAACTGGATAAAATTGACATGGGAACAAACGAATGGCTGGAAATACCGGATCTGTACTCTTTTGTGCAGAATGCAGTATTCAATGCTAACACCCTTGCACTTTGTGGGTCTCACATATTTGAGATTAATCCTACATTTACTGAGGACTTTTGGAACTTTGATTCTCAGGTTGGAGGACCACTTAAGGGTATTTCAAGATTTTTCATCCCTGGCGCATATAGGATAAGAGACAAAATGGTCAAGAGTATCCTTGAATGGCATCGATCAGCAGAAACATATGTCAATCATAATGATAAGGAACTTGATAAGAAGTCATGGGAACCATATTATGGCTCAAGGCTTTTCCGAGACCGAGCACGCCATCTTTCTAAGATTAATGGCTTCGGTGATCAAGCTCGTGCGGCTAATGATCTTGGCCTGATATGGGGGTACGGTGATATGCAATTGGAACCTAATTTTTTGAATGCAATCTAATGCTTCACAGTGCAAATTCCAATAGTGTTCCAGCGATCGCTTGGTGTATCCTGGATATTATTTGTCGTCCGGATCTTCTTTCACAAGTCCACGCTGAACTTGCTTCCATCACGAAACTAAATCCAACTGCAAATCTCGACCAACAAATGCCTGATCTTCTATCTAACCTCCTCCTTCAATCAATTTATTGCGAGGAGCTGAGATTGCGAAACGCCGCGGCCCTTCAACGCAGTACTGTCTCCTCCGACTTCAAGCTAGGTCCATGGAAATTTCCTAAAGAGGCCATGATTCTAGCAAGTATCTGGTTCGCGGGTCATGACAAGAATGTCTGGAACGAAGGCGCAAACGGAGAGCATGATGTTGATAGCTTTTGGCCCCAACGTTTCATTCTTTACCCCAATAATTCATACAGCGGCCCAAGAAAATCAGATTCGGGTAAACATCCATCTAAGAAGATCACAAAACCTAAACTCGCAACGGACACGGTCAGCGGCTCCTGGATCCCTTATGGTGGTGGTCAGCAAATATGTCCAGGTCGATTTTATGCAAAGCAAGAATCTATCGGGAGTATAGCGATGTTTTTGTCCAAATTTGATATTGAGTTGACTGGTGATAAAAATCCTGAACCAGACTTCAAGTACTTCTCACTGGGGGTTTTACCACCCAAAGGTAGTTTCCCGGCGAGATTGCGAAGAAGGTCTGCGAAGGTTTCTGGGTAGGCGACTAAATATTATAGAGCTTGATTTTATAATGGTAGCTTTTTTCGGTACCTTCTAGCTGGCTTCACACGAGCATTTAGATTCTGTCGCAATTTGCCATTTAGATTGTGGTTAAGATCTTGGTCAAAACTCCGCTATTGTTTACACCTGCTTTAAATCTGTACAATGTGTTTTGCTAGTAGTTCAAATTGATGTTTTTTGAGCTCTTGTATTTGTCATCTCTCCACCCAAAAGCATTGATACGAATCCTTTCATTGTTCAACCTTAATTGGAGAATGTGTGTTTATATAATGCTAACTTCCTATAGAAGCTTTATGGCTAGATCTTCGTTGCCGTCGTTTTAGGTAGAGCGAGTTCTATGTACCAAGGCTTTTGCATCGGTTGATACCTCAGGTTCATTATGCTTGCATTAACCATTAAAGTTTCTTTACCATTTTCAATATGTTCAGTATTCAATCCCGGCCACCCACATTCAACTTTCCTCATTTTTGAAATACCATCCTCTCCCCAAGTCGCTACTTCTGCACCATGCGCTTCATGAATGTGCCCGCAGCAAAACAACGTCGGTTTTGCTCTTTCCAGTGCCTTGATCAAATTACAGCAGCCTACATGTCCAGCACGTCCATGCACTTCGTCTAAGACGCCCATCGGAGGCCCATGAGTCATGACAATATCAATATTCTTACCACCTTCGTCCTCCCCAAAACTCGGTATCCGCACCGCGCCAGACACGCTTTGCATCCCCAATTCAAGTTCATCTGGACCATTAAATCGATCTTGATACCTTTCATACGCGAATCCGAATCCGCAAAATTCGGGCGTATATGGACTTGCATAGATTCTCAACGCAGCTCCATTCTCGAGACTAAAATCATGCACCCCCTCCTCCAGATAAACAACACCAGCATCCCTGGCCAAATCACCCTTCATAATCTCATTTCCCGCAGCACATTCTTCTAAACTCTCTTTATATTCTTCGCTCGTGTATGAGTGCCCAAGATTGCGTACAACCCACGTTTTATCCAAAGTCCGGTCGTGATTCCCCGCAATCACGAGTTTTAACTTGGCGGGGATGGCTTTTAACATTTGTAGCGCGCTGCGATATTCAGATAAGTCACCAACTCTGGTGAGATCACCACAGTGGAGAAGAACATCTATGTCTGATGGGATTTTAGAAAGTGAGAGAGGAATATCGGCATCGTTGAACTCGAAGGTGTGGGTGTCTGAAATGACCATCACGCGAGTGGGAATTTTTGGTTGTTGGCCCGCCATTCTTGGTTTGGGAGATCGTTGTAAATGTTTTGTAGAGTTCTGGAAAAAGAATTTTGATGGAAGAAGAGGGAGTCGCATAAGTAATTGGTAATAATGTAATGATGAAGATGCAAAAACAAGCTGAATCCAAAGTGCTGCCTTGCTGTGTGCACGTGACTAGTTGTCAGACTGCTCGTTGCGCCACTGAGCCGCGCCAGCCCCGCAATTGTCTCACAATAGATAGAACATCACGACACGCACCAGAGGCAACAATAGAACGTCAATCTAAATGACTGCAAAGCCCTTCTTCTCGATGCATTGTAGGCATGGGCGGGTAATTGAGGGTCTACAATCTATCAATCACTTTTCCTGTTTTTGGTAGACTTTTGTTCTCTATTTTCACATGGTTACATTTTTCACAGGCCAAGGAAATGGCTGTACTTCATGTTTTTTTGTGTGTTTTTTATTATTATTAATATTGCAATATGTATAGAATCTGCTCTCCTACCCGTCCATCAAACCGTCGGCTGATAGAGTATGATTTGGGCCCTCATTGCCAGTATATCAGTAACCTTAATCCAGACAGTCAACTACTGGAGTAAAATGGAAACTTGACAAGTTGACCATGTCTGCAACAGAGAGTGAAATCTCCAACTCTCTCATCGAATTGGCCACTGAATTTCCGGTGATGCATTTTTCTTCAAAGATGTCAATTGAAGCCCAGTGACTTCTTCCGCTGTATGTCTGATCCACGATGTCATAATATTAGAGATTCCATGGTCCTGATCGCTTTGGACATCTGGTATCAATGACATAGCAGCGCACAATGAAGTTGGTTTGATACACTTGATCTTCTTTTCCAAAATCGAAAAAGACCACTCTTTGTATGGTTTTGTTGGAAGTGGGTATATCTGTTGTTCAATGGCACCTTTCAACAACATGCCTAGCATCATTGCATCACATTTCTTACGGTAAGACTCTCTATCTTCACCGCATATAGTGCGAATCGAATATTTCGAACTGTTGTTCTGATATCGCTGTATGGTGTAATCACACAAATCAACCACCTCAGCAATTGCGTGTTGGCGAGACTTTTCAAGCTCATCTATAAAAGTCGTGTCAGCGCTTGTTAGATGACCAAATAGAAACAGGATTTAGACTGGAAAGAACCTAAGACGCTTACCTAAAACAATCTGGGGAATCGGTAGACTACTAATGCTGAACAATTTTTGGATTCCATTTCCAGTATAGTTGAGAGCAAGGCCTTTCGTAATTTCTTCGATTACATCTGTCATATTGAAAGTCCAAGCTATGAAGATCCAGCGAGGTATGTCTTCTCCCGATACGGAGTCGTGGCCAGCTGACATCTTCCAGGCTGGTGTGAATACATAAGGAACCTCATGCATTTGGTACTTGTCGCATAAAAGTGCAATTCGCGTGAACATGGGTAAATTAATATCCAAAGGAACGGATCTGAATCGTCCATGTATGATGTTGAGTAAATGGATCCATGCCTTTGAATCGTCATCGCGAAGCAATAATTCCATCTTGCCGGTTTTCTTCAGCTCGATACTCTCTTGAGAGCCTGTCTAGAGCATAGTTTTGAATACTGGTGAAGCAACGGACATATGTTTAGATGAGACTAACATGCGGACTTGCTTCAACTCGACCCAAGAAGTATCAATTAATACAGAAAGTTCGTCGGCTGATAGGTTGATTTGCGAGATGTCCGGTAACTTAATTAAACTCTTGGACTCTCCATTTGATGACTCGGCATCTGTAATCTGTAAATCATCTTCGGATGAATCGGCGTCAGTCCAGGTATCATCCGTCTGGGAAGATGAACACTCTTCTGGATCGAATACTAGAACTAGGTCTCCATCTGTATCGATGATCAACGCATCGCTGGTCATTTTGATGAGATGAGAATTATTCTGTATGTAAATTGTAAAATCTTTTCGCTGGTTTAAGTTAGGTGATGAACAATATGATTTTGTTGAAGTACATCGTAGTAGTTGTGTTGGATAATTTCGAAGATTATAAACTTTCAATAATAGAAAGCGACGCTAAATGCTGTCGCTAATTTATAAGCTAGCGCATACTGTTAGTCATAGTCATGAATATAATGGCCGTATTGAAATCTTGGTGATGGGTTCGAATACAAAAAGATTCGAGTGTACAGGACTAGCAGAAGAGATGGTGATTCGCTAAGCTAAAACTAGCCAGTGAATTTACTATCAACTTTACGCATTATCAAGTGAAGTCATGTAAACATTTTAATATGATGTGAATACAAGGAATTCACTTAATTATGAATTGCTATAGAGCACGAGAATACAGCAAACTCCACGAAGTATTATGATACTTATGAATAACGACGATTTCTAGGTACTCGATCATGTTAATTGCGGAGTTAATGGACGGCAGATTGACCATCACTCAAATACACCCACCAGTAGACTTTCTATCACTATAGAATCATGAATAGAAAAGGAAAAGAAATGATATTCACACTCATACTTGTAAACGAGGCGATTTCTTGAGGAGTAGAGCCAACCTCCGTTCTTGCATTTCAACCCTGAAAGACAAAAAGACCTTATAATTATTTTGATACCATGATCGAAGTTTGGTATTGCTCTGAAGTTAGAGTCATTTCAAATTACATAATTATGAAGTCGTAGTCATATCAAAATCATTTCCCCTCGCTATCAGTCATTTCAATGATGTGTTATGGTATCAAATAATATGTAGTCTTAAGATCATGTGATTGATATGATGAATATGGTGTCAGTGTCGTCACAGAGATTTGTTGATGATATGATGTTACGCTACATTTCTGGATTTGACAGGTATGTACCACTCAGAACCCTAATTTTTGCGTCTAGATATGGTTATTCAAGGGTGCTGGCTTGTAGAGTCGCATGTAACCATCTCTGTGACAAGTTGAGTACCTTTCACAGCCAGATCCTTGGCTCAATTTCTTCGAATTAGTTTCAAATGTTCCGGCACTTAAAACAGGCTTTTTACAAGAGACTTGAAGACAATATCACATTGCACAGCCAAAAGATACATCATAATAGATTTGCATTTAAATGAATGTTATGCAAAATCGCATCAACCTCTCATCACCTCAAATTCATTATCGTGTACGCGAACAGAAACAAGAACAACTGCTTCGAAAACCACGTCACCTCCCCACCAATTCTCAGAAAACAAGTCCTCTTCCAACCCCCCCTCTCATATCTGTACCATCATCATCTCCTACGTCCATCAAAGCCTAATCGTATTACTTATAGAGAGATTGGCAAGAAGATGGTAAGACCATTTGCAACATTGAGACAGCTGAGAGAGAGCAAGCCAACGGAATTGCAGCAGTAATCTCCATCTTCTTTGCCGGTACGGGCTTCAATTCCTCGTTCCTCGAGAGCACGGTTCTTAAGGGAGATTGGAATGGTAATGCCAACATTGTTCAAGATGTTGGTGCAGGTGAGGAGGGTGAGAAGTCCGTTGGATGCACAGGTGTATTTGGAGCCGGAACAGGTGGGAGCGCCGGTTGGGGAAGTGCTGCCCCAGGTGTGAGATGGGCTACCGCCACTGTTCTGAGATTGAATGTTAGTTTGATAGATCAGAGGAGATGAGGTGTCAGGGACTTACGTTTGGGAGAGCAGCAACGCTGACAGCGAGGAGGGTTGTGACGACGGCGGAGAATGAGGCGTGCATTTTGAAGTATTGGAAGTTTGAAAGCTTGAGAGAGCTGGTAAATGTTGTTTGTTGAAGGGCTTGTTGAAGTGATTGATGATGTGGTTGATGTTGTTTGAGATGTGAATTCGTCTGCTCTTTATAGACTTCTCGAAAGGTGCGATATACCACTTTAGAGTCACTACACTAACAGGAAATCCCAGCTGCACGAAGTTCTTGAGATAAAAAAGCCATCCACGTAGGTGGATTCTTTGACATTCTTGAATGAGAAGCGAGTGAGTGGATCTAGACTGGCACTACCAACTTCTCATATGAGGGAAGTGGCATCTGGATCTTTCAGCGACGCCTTGAATGCAGATCATAGCCGTTTCATGGGAAGAATCACATCTGAATGGTTGTCTTCGATGGCTGTTCTCAATATTCACATTCGTGTTGTATATTCAAATTCCTTGTTATTTCCTGTTCTGACTGACTGACTTCAGTGAAAACATTGGAGAATATGTGTCTGCGTCTCATGATTCGCTATTGCTTTCCATCTCTGTAGTAACGAAGGATCACCAAGAAATGCCGAGAAGCATAATTGTTCCAGATGAGGGCATTCACACTGCATTGTTGACGTGTAAGAGGCAAAAGATCTACATAATAATGATCCATAACACTATTGAACGTGATCCCCGTTCTAATGTTCTAGACTAGTCTTGAATTCAACATGAAGTTCTAATACAGATTCGGATTACTCGCCACCTAAAGAGCCAAAGATCCAGGCGAAGGAGATCGAGATGGCCTACATAATACGTGGAGAAAAAAAGCAAAGAACTCGCATGATCTATCAAGTAGCAGCACTTGGTAATTGACAGGTACCACACCACAACTAAATTACATTGTGTCCTAGTTGTTCTAAAATTATCCTTCTAGCACTGACAGAGTCTAGATTGCATTCAACCTGCCGATTTCGCTTGAATAACTTTCCTTTATGATGATCGGCGAAGATGAAAAATCCCAACTCTTCATTTAACCAACTCAGTCACTTGTTGAAAGAGTCTACCATGGAGACCTCATGTGTCCCAAACAGTCGATCTACTGTTACTAACTTGGATAAAGTTCGTAGCGACAAATATTCCCGTTTTCCATCTCCACCACGTTGAAAGCACCGTGTAATCCCCGCAATTTTATGGCTCCCAGTAGGGACAGATAATGCATGGAATTCAGAGCTAAATTTGGAACAAATAAATTTCAATTATCAATGGTGTTGATGACCTGGAGATCCTCTCTATATTATGCAGAAAAGACAACTCGGATAAACTTGATAAGATTACTCCATGCCGCAAGTGCGCACTCAACGAAAAGAAGTCACACAACTCTCAATCTCAATTTAATTAAGAGTACCGTTGTATTTCCATTGATTTGTTTCCTGATATCCGTATCATCTTCACTGACAACCGTGATTTCCACAAGGATCTGATCAAATTTGAGGCTTAATGTTCAAAAGCTGAACCTAAAATGTGGTGCATTAGCGTAGTGCTAGACATCGGTTCTTGGATAAAGGGGTCTGAATGCCAATTCTTCATTCCCAAAATGGGTCAATCACGGTCTAATATCCCCCCATCCAATCATTCAGATTTTAAACCAGGTCGTGTCACTCTGATATTCACCGATTAGTTAACGGATGCGCACACTCCATCCGAGCCCGCCCCCGCTCCTGCAGTAGTATCCGCTAGTCCGTCCTGGTTGTTTCTGTCACCAGTACTTAGCTCCGCTGACCGCTCAAAAGACTCCTTTCTTACTCATCAAAAGCTCAAGCATTTTCATGCAACTCGTATAAAGTAAAAAGAGCTCAACAATTTTCCACTTACGTAGATGGCATTCTTATCCTATAGATATCCATGTAATAAAGACGACAGGCTGAATCCTATCTCTACCAAAAACCTCATGCCTATTTATCTCGATTTTCATCACAGCGTACCTTTCTCTGGGAGATATAACAGTTCCCAATATTACGAATCGTATCGTCAACCAAATATGAGCATTTTCGATGTTTCAACGAAATTGACAACTGGAATTAATGATTTTACGTGAACTCCAATGATAACCCTGGTTGTTCCCTCTCCAAACATTTCAGCCTCGTCTTATCCTCGTAGAATCTTTTGCTACTACCTACCCCGCAAAACACTTCACGACCGGATGCAACCTAATATTGAAACCCACCTTGACCCCTACCAATTCAGTCCCATCTAATTCAACCCAAATTGGCCGCAAAGCCCGCAAACCACAAGATCCTGCACAAGAAGAAGCTTAAACCTTTTCGAACCACGCAAAATATCCAGCCCCCATATAATTGGCACGGTTAGTTTAGCTCTCATCTTCTTGTACAGTAGAAAATTCACCCCCTGCTCCTCGCTTAAGAATATGATTAACCGGCAACCCGCCGCGGCCTGCTCCATTCATGCCAAGACAGCACGTCAAATCTTACGACTTACCAATCCACTCACCACCCCATACATATAATCTCAGCCCCATCATGACGAGTGACAACAATTCTTCATCCAATAAGATCTCCACAGCTACTGCTACAGTAACATTGCTTCACACACCTTGCGGGGAATAATTGTAAAATGTGAAGTGAATCAAGATTAAATTTGCTCAGCTGGCTGGAAAAAATTCCTTTGTAAAAGCTTGGGGGAGGCAATGGAAGACGGTTGAGTGACAATTCACCGGGTTAGGAACATAGCAAAAGAGTGAGATCACGTGGATTTGGATTTAATTAAATTCATATAATCGATTTTCGACATGATTGGCGTGAAGGCGGGTGGTCGAGAGAGAAAAAAGACGGCAGAGTCCTACAAGTTGGTATTTCCTTGAATTTTGTCGTCAATCTTCTTTTGCGTGTAAGCCGGTTCTTTTCAAGGAAAACGCCGCAGAAAGTAGAGTTTAAACTTCGCCCCCTTCCAGTAATATAGATTCCTTTCTTTTCATTCTACAAACTCACACCCCTTATTCATTCTATCAATTCACTATCCTTATTCACTGAACCAATTCACTCTGTACATTAACTCGATCCATTCATTCTCCCCATAAATTCTACCCACCACATCCACCCTCCTAACCCTTCACTACGCCACCAAAATAGACTTATTAAGTGGTCAAAGTACCCGCTCAGTTCCCATTTATATGGCCGTCCATCACGGCTACACGTGTTCAGATTTCCGCCCTGAAACTTTGATCCTTACCTACTTCGTAGACGCAACTCGCCCCTCATATCTCCGGAAGCTTCGGGTCCCCTCCTTTGGCTCCATATATCAACTACTCTCTGTGACTATCAATAGATATACATTTAATAGTTCGCCTCTCCTCTTTCTCAAAACTTCCTTCAAATTGAAGAGGATGTTGCTTCTCAAATGCTTTTCTTCCATCAGGATCGTTTACTCCAATGAACCTTTATATACTTTATTCAATTTCTCGTGCCACACCTATCGAACTTCTGGGCAAGATGAGATATCCTGATTCTGTGAAAACATATACGAGAACATGAAAGTCTTACAGACTGTGGTAGTGTTATCATTTTTTCTTTCACCTTAAGACATAACATGACGTTAATCAGATTGATCGACATCGTTGATCTTTCAATTTATGAACGGCAATCGGATACAACTGGGTACAATCTATTCAAAATTACTTTCAAGAACACTTAATTTATAATATCTCCACTTTGAATAAGGTCTATTTCGTCTTTCTACTGGTATATCCATTTTAACATGTACTACTTACTATACAGACTGTCTATGAAACTGAATTTATTCAATCAAAGAACTAAAATTCTTTATTTACTTTCCCTTCTTAATTCTCTTTTCTACTCTCCCCTCTACTACCTAGACATGGGGAACAGGAAACAATCCTCTCTACCGCCAGCAGGCATCAAATCAAATCGCATTACCATACATCTCAGTACATAATAACGCATGCTCAATCATTTGATTCAATAAAGAAACACATGCAATTTCTTTCGAAACGCCACTTTTGGTTTAAGAAGAGTACAAATGACGCATAAACTACGATGTAGGTTCTAGTTGTCAACGTGTATCTAATCTAAGGAGCTAGCTAATTACAAAAAGAAGCAATCCCTCAAATAGACTTTGCTACAGGACTAGCCCCTTCATGGTAGGCTATGAATGACTTGAGACCATTTATTCACCCTTTGCTCATACAGTCACGCGTTTCTAGCGTGGTTATACAGATGTCCTAGGAATTCACATCCTATATAGTTGACATCCCTTCTCCTTTCATCCCTGTTATAGAGTATCATACATCTTATCCGTCACCCTACTCTTATACGAGAATACGAGATCTGAAAACTTCAAAGGATCCGTCAAGATTTTGATATGATATCACTTCTCATCTCCTACGACTACTCTTCAGTTATCTAGAAGAGACCTTCTTTTAGATCTCTCTTGTTCTTACTTTATTATTATAAATCAAAAACAGAGCCAAATCTCATATAGTTATAGCTATGGACAGACATAATTGTACTTCCCTCTTCAACTTTTCAATATTTCAATATAGTAACTTTTCGTCTCCTATCTTTCTAACATTCTCACTACCTTTGATCTTTTCATACTTCTTTACAAATCATTTTGTAACCTTTAATCTTTCATTATTTACTCATTTTTCTGACTTCGATTTCCATCACTCCTTTGACTAACCTCTCTCCTCACTAATCTATCAATCTTCTTGGTCTTCCTACCCCCTCTACTCACATGATAACATCCCCGTTTACTATACATACTATAATACTCTCATGCTGCTAATTTATCTATGTCATTCAATATATTTGCTTATATTCCACATCTCAAAGCACATTTATTTAAAATCATTCACTTCTCGCATTCACTTCGCATTCATTTCTCGCATTCACCCTTCTTATTCACTCTCCTCATTCGCCCTCTCCCTCATTACCCTCCTCACCATCCTAATATCCAATTAAACTTTCAAAAACTCTCTCTCTAATCATCCTCTTCTAAATCCCCTCTTGGAAAAAAATAAAAAGCGTATTAAACGAGTAATAAACTCTATTCTTATTCCCAATAACATAAAAGCCATTCAGAATACTAGCATTCGCGTATTTTAACACTAAGCTATACTATAGAATTCACAATCACATCTCTTTCTAATCTAATAGATTATTCTAAATTTCACTTTGAAATTCTTTTTTAAAGCTACCTGTAAGTACTATCATTTATGTATTCATTCAACTCCATATCAGCTTCTACTCCTATCTCATTTCTATTTATATTTTCATTCGTATTCAAATTCATATTTCAACTCTAGCATCTCTTTTCAATCTTCCTTTCAAATTCTATCTACATTTCCTCCTCGGAATCCCAATTTAGAGCCCTCTCCGAAACTCAGCACTCATTCATTTATCCGTTTATTTCCCTATTCACTTCTACTCCTATTTTGATTACTATTTTATCTTCAATCACTACTCTGTCTTCAAGTCTGATTCCAATTCCAATTCCAATTCCAATTCTAGTACCGCCTTCCTCATGACCCTCCTTTTCACTTCTATTATTCACTCCCCACTCACCTCTATCATTTACTCTTTACATCCTCTCCTTCTGCCCCGTCTCAACCTACAGCCTCCAGTCTCCAGCTTTCAACCCAATTATCAGAAATTTCCTTTCTTTTCATTCTTTTCATTCACTCTTAATCACCTTCTCCATCCAATCTCAAAATTTTAATCTCCCAACTCTCCATTAATAGTTCTACTCCTGTTCTAATTTATTACCCTCTTTATTATTTTTCTTTCTCTTTCATTCTCAACCTCATTTACTACAATTAATCACTCTCTCCTTCATCTCCCTTCTCTCCCTTCCAATCTCAATCTCTTCTTGTCAAATCTCGACCCCCAATTGTAATACCAATTCCTACTTTCAACTCTCATTCCACAATTACCTCTATTTTTCTCTTTCTCTCTCCCAACTCCTTATTTACTCTGTTTATTGACCCTCCCTATTCACTCTCTTTATTCACTTAATTTATTCACTATTTCCACCCTTTCCCCCCTCTCCCTCCCTCCCCTCCTTTTACCTCTCCTTTTTCTTCTCTATTTCCCTCTCCTTTATTTAATCACTCTCCCTCTCTAGCTCCCTCTTTGAGCTCCCTCCCCCTTATCCAATTTCTTCCACTCCCACTCCCTCTCTCAAATCTAATACCCTCTCCTAGCTCCCTCTCTGACTCTTTTCCAACTTCCAATGCCCTCTCCCAGTTCCCGTTCCTCATTCCTATTCTTAGATTTCTTTCCTCATTCCAACTCCCTCTTTTCATTCACATTTCCAGCTCCCTTTTTAGCTCTCTCACCAACTCCCTCTCACAGCTCCCTTATCAATGACTCTTCTTATTCACCCTCTACCCCTCTCAACTCTCTACTCCCACCCCCCCTCTAGCTCCCTCTCCACTTCCCTTTCTCAGCTCCCACTTCCCTCTCTCTACCCCCAATTCTTCCTCCAGCTTCCTCTCTATCCACTCTCCTCATTCCTACTCCTTCTCCCAGATCCCTATCCCTATCCCTTATTTACTTCCAGCTCCCTCTCTGAGCTCTTTCTCTTTATTTTGGCTTTCTTTTCAAGCTCTCCCTTTTGAGCTCCCTTTCCCTCTTCTATTCCTTTCCCCGGCTCCCTCTTCAGCTCCCTCCCTAGATCCAAGTTTTCAGCTCTCTCCCCCTCCTCCCCCTGATAGCTCCCAGCTTCCCCCCTGGCTCCCTTTTTATTCACTCACCTCATTCACAACTCACCAATTCACCTCAATCCATTCACCTCACTCATTCACCTCATCTCACTCACCTAATACCACCTCTTTCCAACCCAGCACCACCAAAGCCATGCATTCTCAACTTTCAATTACTCAAATTTCACTACTAATTCATCCATCAATTGAACGGAACATCTTGAATGTTTCTTCAATATACATATATATATATATATATATATGTATCTTCATTACTACCTCACTACTCACTACCAATCTACAACTTCTTCTTCTTATTTTTATTTCCCTGGAACATTATGAAATTCATGCACACAATTCCCTCACCCCCATCCCTCAACCATAAATTACTCATCCATGACCCCACAACTACCCCATCGAAAAGTAGATTAAGAGAAGGAAAGCAACCTCCCCTCCCCAATTTCCTACTTCCTCCGCATCTCTCTCCCTACATATTTATCCCCTAAAAGGAAAAAAAAGTTCAAGAACGCCCAAATAATGCTCCCTCAAGATATGCTCGCTTTCCGCAATACCGCATATCGCACAGACATTCAAAGTTTTTTGGTATCTTATATTAATATCCATATCCTCGCAAACGCACTTGTATACGTATAGTTCGGTAATAATTTTTCAAACTCCATCCCTCATGTAAACATAAAAAAAATACTTCGATCCCTTTGCATCATTTCTTCTTTCCCTTTTCTTTTTGTCCTAAACCAGACGTACCAAGAATATCATCGAAAGTCGATTCTTTTTTCCCAGCTGAAGATACCGGCCGACCATCCGCATGAAGACTAACAACACTATTTCGACTGATCACACTGTTGCGGCTATAAGGTGATGCACCTCTTCTTCCTATAGCACTCACGGGTGATTCGCGTCCACCTGGCGAGTCTGATCTGAGACCAGGTTCCATATTACCTGGAATTGGCAACATTTCCAAACCCAACATGACACTGTTTCGCTGAGATTGTCGACTGTTGCTACGATTATCAACTCCAAGCATACCATTACTTGCAACACTTGATCTTCGAGAAGAATTATCACGACCCCGACTATCCGGTCGACTGAAGCTTCCACCAAATCCAGGAGGTGGCGCAAGTGGTGACATTGTTCCTTCTTCTTGATCATCTGGCGAGAAAGGTTGTGAGATCTCATTCGCTTCAGCATTGTTGATCCATTTCTGAGCAACTGTCCAACAATGTGATCTGCGGTAAACACCTTCTGTGCCATAATTGACAACGTCACTAGGCAAACTGACCACTCCTTGACCACCTTGAACTCCATACCATGCCATTTTTACTCCCGACGCATCTTCCAACCAGGGTAGATTACCCAAGGGTGGCTGACATAAGAAATAATCTACTCCTTCCGTGTATCGTAAATTGTCCACATCTACAACAAGCATAGGAAGTGATTGAATGACTGCGTAAAGGAACAACCAATGTCCATATCTTTGATCGGCCAATTCTTGAACATTCTTACCCTTCGATTCTTTCTCCTCAAATGACTTGTGCATCTCCATAAATGGAGTTTTCTTATCAGCATCGAGGTTTTGACTCTTGGCTAAGATAAGAAGTAGCTCGTATTCCTTGAGTTTTCTGGTTGATGCCTTGTGTTGATCCTTAGGTGATAGAAGAGGATAACCAGGTTCAATAGATGCCATAGTTGGAATTTTAGGTACATCGAATGGAATAGGTGGTAAAACTGGCGGGGAAGATCTATCAAATTCGGCCAAGATTTTTCTTGCTGCTAAATGTATAGGATTAGCATGAGCCACATCTTGATCTTCCGAGTCCATGGATCGAGTCGTAATAGCATCTCGATCAGCCATAAAGTCGTAAAGGTCACACATATCAGAATAAAGCTGTTTGAGTACTTGTCGATTCAAGCCACCTTCAACAAATTGATTCTTGGTCCTTTGCTTTGGTGGCCATTGACCATGGACTATCTTGTAGTAGGATAGTACATGCCTCTTCATACTTAAATAGTTCGTCCTCCAATTCTGGAATCTAGCAATTTTAGATTCTGCGCTAGTCTTTGATGATGCTGCACCAGAAAACAAAGCAGGGTACTCAAAATCGGCTAAACGTTCCTCAGCACGTTGTTGTCTTTGAGAAAGTTCCAAAGATGCTCGTTCCAATCGATCCCGAGTGTTGTTTGAAATTTCCTTGAAAAGACTCGATTTGAGATCTTTGATCGAATTCCATTTTCCAGCTGCGTGTACAAATGCCTCGTGATATAATTCTGTGGATCTCATGCGCTCTCCTAGTATAAGTGCCTCAATAGTCTTCTCTCGACTTTGTCGAACATCGGCTAAACGAAATTCATCCAGGAAAAAGGCAAAGCTAGCTGCTGCTGCCTCGCCATAAGTTGATCCGTCATAATTGCTAAACTCGAACTTCTGTAACATCGAAGATATGGCCAAGAATATATAAAATGTCGTAGGACAACTTTTGGTGGCAACAAGTGGTTGACCTGTCATAAACGCAAAGAAATTTCGAACATTAATAAGATTTTGTATATCGTCGGGAGAAAATTTAGTAGGATCATCAGTAGATAATTCTGTTGGAAAGTAAAGATGGATTCCTCCACTATCTTCAGGGTATGGGTTCATATAATCCGATGACGCTTCCGATCCAGATGGTCCATCAACAGGAGTTTCTGGAGGTGTACCGGTTTGTGTTGAAGCATCAGGACTTTGCCTTCCGGCCGAATCCAAACTTGTTGACCTCCGCTTGGCAATGCTGCTGGTTATCATGTCGTGGAGGGGTCTCGATGATGACAGGACCAGGGAGGGAACTTTGAACGATGGGCCATGGCTAAAAGGTTCTGGAAAAACATGTACAAATGTATCGCAATATTCTTCCCATAATTCTGGTACCTATGATATGTTAGCTATAATTTTATCAGAGGGTCCGCCAATAGTATCATTACCTTCTCTCCATTGGTTACAAGCGAAATGTTGTAATCAATCTTTTGATCCCCTGCAATGACCCAGGCAGATGATCTACCATCCGAGCCGGAGTTTGACGATGAATGTCTCGACTTCGTTTTTACCGGGAAAAAACTCCTCCGTTTTGTTGCTTTCGCATTATTCTCACCATCTGAAGTGTATGAAGTTGGTCGACTGGATATGGGGGACGATACTGATCGATTTCCATTACCACTGACCGCGGAAAATGGAGATGGAGGTGCAAGGGAATTGAAATTCGAAGTAGAACCGTGTCTACCTCTTCGTTCTGTGAGTTGATTGGCAGGCGGTTCTGTTGCATCTGGCGATGGAGAGGGATTGAGTGGCCACGAATTTTTATGAGGTTGTTCCTTCTGTAATTTATTTGGTGCTTGTTGAGTTGGTGGTGCTGGTTGAGTTGGTGGTGCTGGTTGAGTTGGTGGTGCTGGTTGAGTTGGTGGTGCTGGTTGAGTTGATGGTGCTGGCGGATCACCGGCGGGCATGACAGGAAGCGTAGGAACGGGTGGGATATCTGCGGATGGTTCGGGAGATGATGGTTGTCGAATAGGAATGTCGACACTTTTGGGTATCGGTGGAATCTTTTCTTTAGTAGATTTAGAGTCTGTCTCGACAAAAATATTTGGAAAATATGCAGAAATGCGGTGCAAGCGGGAGACGGATCTCGACCTCTTCTTTGGACTAGAGCTCATCTTGAGATCTTCTAGTGCAAGCACTTCCGTAATACCTTGCGCTTCTAGCTGTTCTTTGACTTCTTCCAGTGCAAACCTCGACAAGTTTTGTAGTGAAATAATAAAGATTTGAAGAAGATACGGAGTTGTAAGGTAAAATGAGTGTGAATAGAAGTGGTTCACTTACTCAACGTCATTTGGTGAGACGTTCTCCCTTTTCTCTTTGTATAATAATCAAAAATCGAATAGGGAGGATCTGCCAAAGTGGAGACTTGTATATGATTCTTCTCTCAGCACCCTATTTTATTCTTCACACTCAAGGATATTAGAAAACCCCATGAAAGTTTAATTGTGGATTCTTGGACCGAATTGTGCACTTTTGAGTGTGCGGGGATTAAGAATTGTGCGCTATTTGGCTTGATGCGACAGCGTGAACGAGGATTGCTATGTTTGAGATGGAGTGACTCGAGTGATTCAAACCCTTTTCGAATGGTAAGGATTACGCGGCAGCAGCGGTGCGGTGGGTTTTCTTTTTCTTCGATAGTGGATAAAGAGGAACAACGGGGGGGAATGAGTGAGAATATGAGGAGAAAGATGGGAATTGATAAATGAGGTTAATGTCTTTTGAGTGGTCCTTCGTCAAGATATATGTTCCCGAAATACTATTTGATTAATAGGGCGATTTCCCGCTCAAAACTTTGGTCGTAATTGGTAGGCAGTTTCAAAAGCTTCAGAGATGTGCGACGAGGTTTTCATATTATGTGAGTATTGTGTGTGTTGTGTTCCAGTTGTTGGTTCCTTATTTATATCAAATCGAGATAGAACCGCAAGGCGGCAAAAAACAAACGGATTATCGGCGGGTACAAATGGTAAGAGGACCTCGGGAAGTAGAGGAGAAGGCCCAACGAACGACAGACGGATTGAGCAAGAAACGAATGTTAATGGTCGTGAAATCTCTTGCTTGTTTCAATTTCGGGTCGGGGTCTTGGTTCATGTACCTGCTCCGTGGGTACCGAAGATGCGGCTGTGGTTGATGATGAAGAAAATGCTTAGGTCATATAATGGAAGCACTTACGCAGGACTACCAGGTACTTATGAGTAGTGAAGAAAGAGGAAAAAAGAGTAAGCAATCTGCAGCTGATATCGTTTGGGCTGAAGTAAAATAACTTTTGCTGTCTTGTCATCTGCAAGTACAAATTGAATTTTGGTATACACTTTGATGATAGGTAGAGGGGACCAAGCAGGAGGCAGGCAAAAGAATCATTTGATATCCAGGGCACGTGCAAGGTGGCCATCAAAGTGATAGGGTAGTATTTTTAACATGCAAGGTGATGCTGATGCCAAGGGATCTACCAAGCTTGCACTGCCGAATCCAAATACGGTTGAAGAACCTTGTTATTAATGCCTTAGGTATCCACGGAGCACAAGGCACCCACAAACCTATTTGCTTGCGCCTGTGATAATTATTACGATAATTATTACGATAATTCCTCTATTCTCTATTCTCTTCTCTCTCACCTCTCTCCTACCTCTCACCTCTCACCTCTCTCCCATTCTCTCTGAGCCCATCTCTTCACCCCTTCTCCTTGGCTTCACTACCTCTTGTTTTACATCCCCGTATATGAGCAGACTAAATTCATCTATATAGAATCAAAGTGAATCATACCAATTCGAGAAATGAAAAGCTGTGTGTGATGGTAAAACATTAAATCTCTCAATTGAAACAATTCTTGCACCATCTGTATGGATTGGTACTAGATGAAATGGAATATAGATTAATTCTTCTCCTCTCACCATGTTCATTGGCAAAAGACGTGTCTGAATAATCCATTTCATCCTCCTAAATCCTGTTGTAGGTAATGTTGGTCCATCGGCCAAGGAGGAGCCCAGAAGAGGTCCAAGACCAACCCAGGATATTGAACAGATTTCTAGGTTGCGAAATTTCATCTGCTGGAAACACATCTGCAGCTTGGGTCGACCCATAGGCATATGAAAAGGAAGGAGAAGGTTCTTGTTATGGTTAGTGAGCACAGTCTATGGATGCTTGGATGGATGGCTATGTCTCTGCGCGTGTGGTGTTTGGAAATCAACCCTTTTGATTGACACAAGACAATACCTCACCTCACCTCACCTCACCTCACCTCACCTCACCTCACCTCATCTCAAGTCAAGACTAAAGGATAAAGAAAAAGAGAAAAGAATGCGATGATCCAAATCATAAAGTTTTACGGAAAAAGGTGTGGCTGGGACTTTTGATGCAGTGATTAATCAATCAGGAGTAGATATTTTGAAGGGTCATGTCGGAGGGTCATGTTGTGCTTTTCATTCATGGTGAGAGAGGGGGGTGTGTGTGTGTGTGTGTCTGAGAGTGACATGAGTGACATGAGCGACGAGAATGGCAAGAGTTAAAATAAGTATACAGAGATATCTAATTCAGTAGATATCAAGCCATTTCCTTCTAGAAAAGACACACCTGGGCACACCCCAAAGTCTTTTCGCCACATGGGCAGATCATCCCAAAACATTGACGCAGGAGTAATAATGCATGTGCAGATGGCGTATTCGATAGATAACCTCTTCATGAACTGAACCTTTTCAAAGAGGATAAGTCATATGCACTTTTCCTATACTTTTACGTATTGATATTGGTTTGATGATATGACTTGACAGTTTGACAGCTTCAAGAATATATTTATGTTTCATTCATTTCATTCATTTCATTACCCTGGATCCACCACCATTACCGCCGTTATAGTATGTCCTTTCTTTAACCTATTTAACTGTGCCGCTACCGTTTGTTGGTTCCTGAATTTTAGCACGTCATTTCGTCCCGAGAAATAATGATCCCCATCCCATGGACCTTGGGAGGAAGCATGTCAGCATGGTAAGGGAAACTACTCCGTAGGTAAGTAATAATACCGATCAATCGGGTCGACAACGTTATATTGAGTTGAGCACATTTTTAGATTGCATAGCTGGTCCCGAGAATTGGTCCCGTGATTTGTGCGATGGACGCGTGTCGGCTTGGGTTTACTTATAAGTTACTTGGTCGTGGGCTTACCTTCTTGCCTGGATGCCTCAGTCCTGCAGAGTAAGCCGTGGGTTTTGAGATTATCAATGTATATCTTCAATATCTTTATTATTATCTTCAATATCTTCGACTCACTGGCCGCCCACAGGAGAAGACTGTGTGATGCGTATGGAATTTGGGGATGATAGCAAGTAAAGAATTCTGGTATACGTCTCCAACCTCTCTTAACATCCCCCTCCATGAATGTAGAACTTTAATAAGCCACATGATCAAATAGCCAGGGCGGTATATAGAGCGACCCGTTCCGCTTTCCTCATGAACTCTAATATCCGGCATTTGAACTCCGAAAGACTCCACGTAGAAGTTCCCTTCGTTCTACTCGAGTACTCATAATCGCTACGGAGTATTTCGCTTCGGGTTATCGTAAGATACTCCGACCGTCTGTCTGCACAGGCAGGATCCTACTGGTAGAATTCTGTTGATTACGCTATTATTACTAATCCTCGCGATACCTTCCACAGTTCAATTACTACCACGGAATAGCTCCTCGCATGGCACGAGATAAAGTGGGGCTTTCTGGGTAACCAAACGAAATTGGAAATTGAACAGACAGCAGTTAACACCGAAGGAGAAAGAAAGCTCCCTTCTAGCTTTGGACCTTCGAGGAGTTGCTTCGTAATGTGTTTCTGTCGGCTGTTGCTTTCTCTGTACTTGGTACTTCGTACTCGTCCATCGTCTATCTCGTAATTTGGAGCCAACACAAAGCGGATATACTCTTCCGATGACGGAGATCATCACCCAACACACAACCAACATACAAGTAGGTACATACAGCATACCGAGTGCATACGACAGTGACACGATGTACTCAGTGGTACAACTTGGAATATCCCATCAACATCACATACTGGATAATCAGATCATTAGGTGACGAACAAATGTCGGTATCTAACTAGTACCTATCAAACATAGCAGATTTCCTCGTGTGACCCATCATGTCCCAGCGACAAAATCTTCTCATTTTCCAACAGTAATGGTGATAGTTTTTGATACGTCATCTAATTCATTGGTTCCATCACGATCAAATCCAACATTTGATATTTCTGTTCTGCGGGATGGTTGGAAGACTTCTCATCAGATAGATTAAAAGCTTGCATGGCTGTCCGAAAGCTTGGTCATTCGGGGAAACTCAATCCTTCACCGTCGAATGAAGATGACGGGAATTCATCCAATACCGGATAAGCCCTCGTCTTCTAACAGGAACGGACATTGCCGTCGTAAAAAAAATCAAAAAAATCGCGGGGTCTCCACGAATCCATATCCACCCTATCAAGATCCTCGTGTTGGTAGCTCAACATGGGAATGACTAGGTACCACCTACCTTTTTTCCCTCCTCGTGGGTACGAATGTGACGTTGTAAAATGGGGGTTGCTTTTTCCGCACTCAGGAAATAAAATGAACATGTCCTCGCATTTTTTTCCCTCTCTCATTTCACAAAGTGTTTCTACCTTGTGACACTTTGAATTGCAAGTGAATTTATGCCACGCTGAGCCAATCACTGTCTGTTGATTGATGCAGTGTAGTCGAAAGGAGCCGCAGCACAACAGGAGACACAACTGAAAACCCTCCCCCCCAAAAAGACGTTTATTTTGCATCACAGGAGTTCCAACTTCTTTTGGTATCACAACACATCAAGATGGATACTTTCGAAAAACCGGAAACCGCTCAACTCGAAGCTGCTCGAGAACCACCTTCGGCTCAAAATGGCTATCAAGGAGATGCTGCGGCAGAGAAGAGACTCGTGCGAAAGTTGGATAGACATCTTATTCCATTGGTGTTCGTATTGTGTAAGTGACATTTATAGAGTTTGTTCACAGAGTTTTACAACTGTTACTGATTTGTATAGACCTTCTATCATATCTTGATCGATCAAATATTGGGTATGTGCTTGTCATTCAGAGATGTGTCATATTTCTAACATTCAATCAGCAATGCCAAAACTGCCGGCATGTCAAAAGACCTCGGGATATCTAGCAGCGATTACGAATGGTTATTGACAATCTTCTACATCTCATACATTGTATTCGAGTGGTTTGCTTTGATGTGGAAGGTTCTTCCTCCACATGTGTGGGCTTGTTTTTGTGTGGTTGGATGGGGTAAGTTTCTCCACTTCACTGCTAGAACCTTATCACCCTTGAGGTGCTTCATTGTTTGAACAGTCTTTACTTCAAACGCACTGAAGGATAATCATTCTATGCCAAGGGGCTTCTGAAATAAATACAATGACTGACCGTGAACACAACAGGTACCGTCGCCACTCTTCAATCAGCCACCCAATCATGGTCTGGTATGATGGCAGCTAGATTTTTCCTCGGATTCTTCGAAGCCGGTTATGGCCCCGGTCTTCCATACCTTCTTTCTTTCTTCTACTTGCGTCACGAAATCGGTATACGAATCGGAATCTTCCTTAGTGCTGCACCCTTGGCAACATGCTTCGCAGGTGCACTGGCATACGGAATTACTAGCGGACATGCCGCGATTGCAAATTGGCGTCTTCTATTTTTGGTTGAAGGTTTGCCATGTGTAGCTGCCGGGATCGTGACATTTTTTGTCCTCCCCGATAGTCCAGAAAAGGCACGCTTTCTAAACGAAGAAGAGAGAGGGGTGGCTAGAGCACGAGGCGTAAGACAAGTAGGCGCCGAGGAAGAACATCGTGTTGGAGGTGTTAAATGGGCTGATGTTGCTGCCGCTCTTGTGGATCCAAAGGTATGTTTCATCTTACGTGTATGTCTGAGGCGTCAAAACTCTAATAATTTCATCGCTAGAATTGGCTCACAGCCTTGATGTACTTCTCGTGCAATGTATCCTTTAGCTCCCTACCCGTATTCCTCCCCACTATTCTTAACGAGATGGGATTTTCATCCATCAGCGCCCAGGGTTTATCGGCACCCCCATATTTTCTCGCGTTCCTCGTCGTCATCCTCTCAACCTACATTGCTGATCGCACTCAACAACGTGGTCTGGTAATTATGACCCTCTCGATTATTGGTGCCATCGGATATATCTTATTGGTAAATCTTGCATCCCACACACGATACAGGTAGAGTCTCAACTAACATCCCTAGGCCACCACCTCCACAACCGGGCCCCGCTACACAGGTGTTTTCTTCGCCGCCGCAGGAATCTTCCCCGCTATCGCCAATATTCTCCCTTGGGTCCTCAACAATCAAGGCTCAGACACCAAGCGCGGTACGGGAATCGCACTCCTCAATGTGGTGGGTCAATGTGGTCCGCTTCTTGGAACGAGAATGTATCCTTCGGAGGATGGTCCATATTACCGCAAGGGCATGTGGGTGTGCACTGCATTTATGATGTTGAATGGCATTTTGGCACTGGCGTTGAGAACACTATTGAATTGGGAGAATAAGAGACTGGACGAGAAGTATGGAGTGGTGGGTAGAAGGGATGCGAAGGGTAATGTGGTGGGTGAGAAAGAGGCTGAGGAGAAATTGGGAGAGAAACCATATGCGGAGGCGGGAGATGAGAATGATGGTCCTAGATTTCGATATGTGTTGTGATGTGGTTTTGGAGAGTTGGGGGTGGGGCGGGGGAGATGGAGATGGAGAAGACTCGAAGAGGATGAGAGATGAAGTGATATGAAAATGGATCTCTATCTCTGGTGATATCAAGAGATTTAGTCTGTTATGATTATATCAGATGACCATAACTCAACATCTACAAAAAATTTAATCTAAAATATAAATACATGAAGAAGAAACAAGCTTCCAACTAAATATCTTGGCCCGCTTGGCTTTCTCGGCGGTATGAAATGTGTTGTGGTTTGAGCGGGCTTGTCTGTCAGCCAACCAGCCTTGATGAATCCACTGCTTTTTATGAATCGATAAGATTCTATAGATTGGATGTTTTATGGATTGCATAATTCATGGATTGTGGTTCGATATTTGAAAACTAGGTATATTTGCGGTTTGTGAATATCGTTTGCGAGGAGTAGGTGGGTAGGTATTATATCTCATTCTTCACGTAATCTTCTTTTCCTCTTTCTGCTTTGCTTTACTTTTACTAAAAGAAAGGAATAGATAAATAAGTAGATGGGAAATTAGTTTCGATATCCAATACAAGTAGGTCGTTATTTACTGGCCTTGAGAATTCGTAAGAGATAGGTTCGGGGGGGTGATTTTGCTTCTGCTTCTACGAGTGGGTTTGAATGTGAGGGGGTTTCTTGTACTCTGTAGGTAGCTCTTTGTTGTTGTGTTGTTTTTGTGATGTGTAGGATCGGTTTGGAGGTAGGTGGGTGGGTGGTTGGTTGTTTTATGCATGGATGGGGTTGTATCGTTGAGGTAGTGAGGATCTAGTATTATGGATTCGAAATTTGGTGGATGATGGTGTTTGTGGTGGTTAGTATATTGATATATTGATATATTGATATCTTTTTGGGGGGGGGGGGGTGTTCGGATATCGAGATTGGGAATTAATTGATATTCTACTTGGTTTTATCTGAATCTCAACCTCACACCCGCACGACAATTTTCTATACCCATCCCCATCCCACACATCATGGATGTAAGATTAGATATTATGGTATTCGTGAAGAAGATTCTTTGATTCAATTTTGGGCCTGGTTTTTTACAGCTGTTTGTCGGGTTTAACAATTACATTAAAAACAGTCATTTTACTCTATTTATAATAATAAAATAGAAATATTTAAAATCATTAAAATCAATCAGAATTTTCTAAATATCTTTATGATATAAGTTAATAAAGAATTCAATCTTAATAATAATTATATAGGAATATTATTATTATAAGATTGAATTAAGATTAAAGAAAAGTTTTTAATTTTTATTTATCTTATTAATGGACTTTAATATTTTTAATTTATATTAACGTTTTATATGAATTATATAATCAATAAAAATTAGAAAAATAAATCCTTAAATTTTTATTAAATTTCGAATTAAGATAAATAGATTAATATTGATTTCTTTTATTATTAATAAGATCAATATAAGAAAATCTATAGGTGAATTGTGTGAATTTTAATGTGATTTTGATGTTCGACGAACAGCTGTACTTTATTATTAGTACTATACACTTTTAAATATAAGAGCTTGAGGGAGTGGTGACACGACACGACACGATGGGTGGGTGGATTGTTGATGTATAAATATTTGTTTGTTTATTCATTCATCGCTTTGAGATTTTATATTTTCTGGTTTTCGAAACTTGGAGATGTATATTGACATTTACATTTACATCTATATACTAACCTGATAGCTACGCATCTACAGACAAGAGAAATTCTCCCAGGTTAAAAAGAGAAACTCGTGAACTTTTACTCATGAACCCACCCCACTTACAAGGCCCTTTCGACTCCCTCGTAACCTTTCGTTCACCACGCAACGACACAACGACGCCGCACCACGAACATCCAATAGTGTCGCGAATCTTTGCCTCCAACGGTGTCGGGCGGGGATGGGTGGGGGAAGAAGAAGGCATTTGCTCTGTGTTCGTTTATGAGTCGAGTACCGGTAGCTTTGATTTTTTCGATGACGGCGCTTTTATATACCTAGTTTTTGATCTTGTATAAATAACATCCTTTACTTAGATAAAAGTAAGATGATCGTTTCTCTCGATACAATATAGATACTCTTAATTAGGAGACATTTTATTGAATTTCAATCTTGTTTTGCGAAGTCATATATATATACACCTAGGTAATTAGGCCATTCATTCAATACATGGAAACTCTTCTCGAAGCTAATTTTGAACACAGTTTCACCAATCCCTGGAACACCACCCTCAAGCTCTAATAAGCTCCGATACGAAACCTTGCAAATATTTTCCAACGTAAACAAACAAAACCAAAATGCGATCATTCACCATTGTCAATTCTCACACTCAGATGCATAGCGAAAGGTAGATTGCCATTTCATTCCTCCATTCCTACTATATAAATAATGCCTCGAGACTCAATGACCAATCCATTTCATCCCAGATTCCTACGTGCGCTCTTCCCGCAACAATTCCCCGCAGGTCCAACTTTCAAATCCTCAACTCAAGGCCATCGAAATAAACGCATGAAGTATGTCCACGAACCTTCGCACGAAGAAGAAATCATCGAAACGTATGATAGTATTGAAGGAGAAGATGCGGAGGAGAGAGAAGAGGATGAGAATCAATTACGTTTGGAACATAAATCGTGTGCGAAAGCGATGATGAGGAGGAAGATGGCGGAACGGGTGACGATTGATCCGGATGGAGATTTGCTGTTGATTTTGAATGAGCGGAGGAAGAATAGTGTTTCGAAGCGGAAGATGGGAGGGATGGAAATGGTGACGACGACGGTGGATGATTCGGGGATTGGGGATGAGATTGCCGGGGAGGGGGAAGTGGGTGTTTTGGAAACGGTCGAGGAAGATGCGGATGGGAATGTGAATGTGAGCGAGGTTGTGGACAAGGAAAAGGATAAAAGCAAAAAGGAATTGAAGGAAATCCATATGTTGGTTTCGTCAAAACATATGGTTCTCGTTTCGCCGGTTTTCAAAGCAATGCTTCAATGGAGTAATTTCAAAGAAGGATATGCGATGAAAGCACATGGGAAAGTCGAAGTTCCCCTCCCCGATGATGATCCAGATGCCATGCGCATCCTGGTTGATATCGTTCATTGTCACCATAAAGATGTGCCTCGAAAAGTGAAACTTAGTTTGCTTACGCACCTGGCGATTTTGGTGGATAAATATCGTTTACATGAAGCGGTGCAGATATATTCCGATATGTGGATTTCCCAGGCGAAAAAGAAATTTCCATCGAGTATGGCAGAGGATGGAATTGAAGTGTGTTTGCAATGGCTTTGTATTTCATGGGTTTTTGAAAAGGCGAGGGATTTTACGTCTTTGACGAGGATTTTTCAACAGGAGAGCACGACGAGTTTGGCAGAGATGATTAGGGAGTCGAATTGGGATATTCCGGTGCCCAGTTCTGTTATTGGTTTGTTACGCCGATGGAGAGTTGAAGATTTGACGGCTAATTAAATTCTAGAAAATATCGAACAAGATCGAATCCGAGCCCTCGATGAAGCAATCTCTGCACTTAGAGACACGATCGAAAATTACCAAACCTCTACTCTCGTATGTCGCGGTCGTCCTTCCCATTTGTCCGCCGAGCAAATCCCTCAACATAATAAACAATGCGATGCGATGGTTTTAGGAATGTTGATTAAAGAAGCGATTTATCATAATCTTTATCCACTACCAGACGCTCCTTATACGGGCCATTCTTTCATTAGTATTTATGATAGTTTTCAAAATTTTGAAATCACCAATGCGTGTGAAGTGGTTAAATTGTGTGGTGGGAGTGGAGGTGGGGGAAAGAGAGAGAAGGAGGAGTTGGATATTCATGCGTTTGGGAATGGATTGATGGATCTTTTGGAGCCGGTAGAGGAAAGTTTAAGTGGGTTGGATATGGGTGGGTTTAAGGTTTCGTTGGGATTGGTTTAGGGCTTTATTTGAGGGTGCATTTGAGTTTTCTTTTCGGGAACTTGTATTTGGGAATTTCGAGGAAAGGGTTGGAGTGCATTGGAGTGAGTTGGGTTGTGTTCAATTGGATAGTGAAGGTTTGTTTATACTGAGTTGATGGATGGTGTTAAAAGTATTGCCTAGGGTTGGGTGGTGTGACGAACCTAACAAACGTTTAAAGATCAACCTCAGAATTAAAAGCTACAGAACTAAAGAGAGTGTGCTACAAAGCTATATATACAATTAGCTCGAAGTTTAGTATTGTACTAGTTCAATTGAATATAATCATATATATATTGTAACACTACCCCTCCCTTTTAAAGAATTTATTTCAAACTTATTTTAAATAAATAACTTAAATATAAAATATAATCAATAAAACTCTTTTTTATTATTATTATTATCATTTTCTTTATTAATTTTTTATAAAGTATTTTAAGAGGTTAAATATATTATTATTAAATAAAAAGCATTAGTAAAAGTTTATATCTTTTAAATAATCTTCAAAATATTAATTATTGATTATTTTATTTAAATCCTTATTATTATTGTTATTGTAGAAGTTAATAAAAATAAATATAATAATTAGAATAAATTTTTTTCAATTTTAAATGTTTTAATATAAACTAAATAATAGATTTGTATTTAATGGAAAGTACTTTTATATTGAATATATTTGTTTTCTTTATACAGTTGAGTTTTTTTAATAGAGGAGAACTGTTACGACGGCATCCAACATACCGCATCACATGATCAGGAAGTCACGGGATTAGGGACTCCCACTGGATCCCACTGCTCCCACCCAATGGGATATAATGGGATCAATGGGACAACAGAGAACGAAGATCTATATAAGAGAATAGGTTTCATTATAATGTAGAGCTTCGTACTTAAGAACAATTATTAGTTTCATTATTATAATTACAAGAATTACAATCAATTACAACCTTATTAAATTCCTACTTAAAGTTTAATCTAAATCATCTTGAAAGAACTCTAGACACTTTTACATAACCCTAGAGGCAGCTCCCGTAATAAGAACT